ATGTTAAACTTATATTAAAGTTTTTTTCATTACCCATTCAAGCCGTCTCCAGCCATTATTAGTCTCAAAGTGGGTTCCTCTTCATCGAATCTGTCTTTAAATTAAAACAAAATCTCAAAAAGGTTATGGATCTCAGATTTTGAACTTATAAGCTAAATGGAAAAAAGCTTGTGAAAAGCATCCACCGCCAACTCTGGGAATGTTCCAGTCCAATAGAACAAAGGGGTTTGGCCCAATACTTTCATAGTGCACCCACGACCCTAAAGCGCGAGCGCCATTTTGCGATAATGGGTCACGAACTTAGGATCATTCCCCTATAATGTTTTTCTAATATAACGTAGAACAACGAATACTGTCTACAGATTTACGAAAAAAAAAGTAAAGCGTTACATTAATGTACTTCTTTTTCTGTACAGACAGTGAATCGTATAATTTATAACTCAGGAATATTTAGTTTATTTAGAATTCTCGGTAAAAAATGTATATATTACTTGGTTTCATTCCATTAAAGTCTGTTTAGCTGAACAACGAATACGAATTTTATGGTGAACAGCACAAAATATTTCGTGTTTATATTTTTTCTTTCTTCAAGTTGAATTCAGGTGTATTTTTTTTCTTTTTACTGTTCACATTCAGTTCAGTGATAGACTGTCAGTGAATTACTTTCAGCTTAACAGGTTTTGACGTGTATGAAAGACCAAAAATTAAAGTTTTACCAATGTACGTCTTCTTTCGGTTTCCCTCTAAGAAAGAAAATAGAACATGTCACGCGCAATGTTACTATGGATATTTTACAAGTATTGAAGAAATTTATCACATTAGACTACTAACTGATCGTTGTTTTTTCATGTTATTAAGCAATACTTTGATTAGTCTCGTTAAATCATTTATTACGTACATTTTAGTCACATCGCAAAACGGGATTTGATAGTTTTAGACCTTCTGTTACCTACAGTATCTATCTACTAACAGCGATTTGATAGTTTTAGACCTTCTGTTACCTACAGTATCTATCTACTAACAGGGATTTGATAGTTTTAGACCTTCTGTTACATACAGTATCTATCTACTAACAGGGATTTGATAGTTTTAGACCTTCTGTTACCTACAGTATCTATCTACTAACAACGTCTAATCTTTATCGTACTGTAGTAATAGCTTATCATAATCTACACTTGATGTTCCCTTGTTGTAAATGTCTTCCCGAACTGGGCCGGTTGCGGCGTAATTGTTAGCATGCCAGACTTTGGATCCGAGGTTGATGGTTCGCGTCCCGCTGTTGCAAAAAATCATGCTCTGCACTTTGGTGCTGCGAATTATTTATAAGAGTAACGGTCTAATCTCACTATTCGCTAAAAGTAGCCCAAGAGTTGGCAGTGGACTCTGTTAACTATCTGCCTTTCCCCTTGTTTATCAGTTCAAAACAAAGAACTTCTAGCGTAGATAAACATTATATTGCTTAGCGCGAATATCGCAAACAACATCTTCTCGAATCCATTGGATATTAAAGAAATCACTTTCCCAAATACATTAAACTAAAATGTGAAGTGCAGTCGTTACTTCCTTTACCAAAGTAACTATATATATAACTCTAAACTATCGGGATTTCTTAAAATCCGTGATTGATTTAACTATATATATATAATGGCTCTTATGCAGAAGCAGACAGCCGTTAAAGTTGAATATTATCAATGTGATTTCTTTTTTTTAAGCTCGCTTAAGTGTAATGACAAATATAAAAACAATTTTGTTAAACTAAAAAAAAATCTCGGATTTGGATTTATTTCAAACTTAATAAGTGTCGAACTAAAAGACGAAATCACTGAAAATGAAGGAAATAGAACGAAAAATTAATGACTATAAAGTATCAACGTTCAATTCTTTAAACTTTTCCGAAATTTCCTTGGGCGTTATAATATTGGGCGTTCCCTATCTAAAAATCCCCCAATATCAATGATTTCCATGGAAAGCTGCTTAAAGTTTTGTTCAAAAGCTATGCCAATCATAACGCGCGTTTAACTTTTATTTAAATAGCCGCACCAATTATAAGCATCGTTTAATAATACAAATGAAGACCGTTGACAAAACACAAGACATTTTTATTTACAAGGTTCGAACGTTTCGGAATTATTTTTTTATTATTAGGCTTCGTTTTCCCCATCATAACTCCATAGGCATCATTTAATGTTTATAAAGCATTACAACTGCAATCACCAATTACAAGCATCGTTTGACGTTTAGTTAAATAGCCGCACCAATTACATACCGCAAGGTAACGTTTGTTAAATAGCCGTACCAATTACAAGCCACATCTGATTTTTGTTAAATTTCCATACCAACCACAAGCATCGTTTTAGGTTTTAACTGTGTCAATAACAAATCGTGCTTAAGACAACAATTAAAATAAATGATTCAAGATCTGTGTGTCTATATTTATATATGACGACTTATAAGACGAAATAGGGTTCAATGTACTAAAACTATTAATTGAAATGCTTTTGTGTTTTATTTATTTTATTATTCATAACATTTTCTTCCACAAAGATACGTTGGTGTGTAATCGACCTTATTAAGGCCTCTAAACATCTGCCCCCTAGTGGCACAGCGGTATGTCTGCGGACTTACAACGGTAGAAACCGGGTTTCGATACCCGTGGTGGGCAGAGCACAGACAGCTCATTGTGTAGCTTTGTGCTTAACTTCAAACAAACAAAAACCTAAACATCTCTAGAACCTTATTCGACTTTGCTAGTCACAGCGGACAATCTTACTCATTCGAGAAAAACCAGGCAATGTGGGAACAATAAAACACATACACAAGTAACTAACTTAATAACAAGTAGGTCTGGTTAGGGCACTCGACTCACAATCTGCCACTCGCGAGCTCAAATCCTAGCACTGAACGTGCTCGCCCTTTCAGCCATTTCCACTTTATGTTGGTAGTCCAACAGTTGGCGGTAGGTGGTATTGATTAGCTGCCTTCCCTCTATTATAATTAAAGACGGCTAGAGCAGATAGCCCTTGAATCAATTTGCCTGAAATTCAATAAACAAACAAACAATAATCTCACATAGTTGTCACAATATAAACTCGTCAGTAAGTAAACGACTTAAGTCACGGCCAGTTTTCATCCACACTACTGTATCATTCAGAAACCTTTTGCATACAGCAGTAAGGCTTAGTTGTCTATATTTAATTACTGTGTGATACATAAACTTTTCTAAACCTTATCATTGGCAGTTTCGTCATCCATGTTTGCTATGTGGTTCTTATCAGGGTAATTCAAGGCGTTTTCCTAGGAAATTACACTTTGCTTAAAGAGTCCAAATTATAATTTGGTATACAAGAATTAAAGTAAATTGTCAACGAGAATGAACCAATTTGTGGAAGTTACGCCCTTACAGAGGTGATACCTGAATGGAACATCTCATAATTGCAAAACCATGTTCATATACCGAGAACAAGAATGGAACAAATGAACAAATAAACCATTATATTGGTACACGTCCTACAGTATGGATGCGTTTCTACGGAAATTATTTTGATAAAAACTAAAAATTAACGTTAGGTGGCATAAAGAAAAATATTATCAAATTGCTAGTTGTGGAATACAAATAGAAACAGGAAACGTGACAGTTTCAAAACTTTGCGCAATCATGGACAGAGACACCATAGGTGATCACTGAAAAACAGATAAAGGCGGTATGCACAACCCTTGGTAACAGCCTCTGAGAACGTTTTGTCTGGAAACATAGGAAAGGAGGAGGAGGGAGCAGGGCTATAGCAATAGGAGGTGGAAGGGGCGAATATGCCCAAGTTCACCGAGGCATGCTCCTGGCATAGACATAAATAAATAAATAGATGAGAGAAGCATTAGAATATTAGCTACTTCTTATAAGGAGGGCCCCTAATACCTCTCTGTTTCCGAGCCTCAAGATTTTTTGCTTCGGAGTTGAACAAGTAGCTGAAAAAAATTTAACAGAAGAGGTCATCCGTAGGGTGTATACGCAACAGGTGTCTGAATGTTTGCCCGAAACATTGCCTTACTTTTTTTATTGTAATTGGCAGCGGTCCAGCCATGCAGTTGAGTGACTAGTATTTGTACTAGGCACTCAAGTAGGTGTGAGCACACAAATGGGTGCTCAGTTACTATATAAAAATCTTTACGTTGTTCAGAATGTAACACGTAAATCTCTTTATTTACTCAGAGTGTAACACGTAAATCTCTTAATTAATGTAACATTTAAATCTCTTAATTTACTGAGAACGTAACATATAATTCTCTTTATTTACTCAGAATGTAACATGTAAATGTCTTTACGTTGCTCAGAATATAACATGTAAATCTCTATACATTGCTCAGAATGTAACACGTAAATCTCTTTATGTTGTTCAGAATATAACACGAAAATCTTGTTGACACAATAAAATATTAATTTTTTCTTAAAGTTTTTGAACTTCAAGTATTGATAGAAGAGACAAGGTAAAAAGTGGAATTTCTAATGATACTTGTCTGAAATTTTAATCACGAAAAAGTTAAATAAAAATGGCAAAAGCTTATAGTTTGATTTCAAACGTAATAATTTTTTTCAATATTCTAAAGCTCTTTCTCCTTTAATGTGAATATATCGGATTCTTCGAAACGACGTATTTTGCGTCAAACCTGTAAATTATTATATGAAAGATAAAACATGAATAATGTTTTGCGTTTCGCTGCGGCGGTTTGAGACCTTTCACCGACTTTCAGTTATTGAGCTGAAACTCCGGTTAAAGCGGAAACTAATGTGGAAGACCATCTAGAAAATAAACGTCTTCCGGTCTGCTCATACCTGCACTGCATTTCACGCTTATGTAATCTCTGTTATCTATATGTTCACAGAAATACGTTATTATATAGACTCAAAACCATTGTACGTTTTTGTTCTTGAAATAGTTTGTATCCAACAGAAAGTATATAAACAGACGAGGCATGTGTTTTGGAAATACTGACCGACTTCTTCCAGTGTATCGAGTAACAAGACAACAGCTTGTCTCTCCAGCGTATTTGAACCGTCAAGACTTAGCCTATACCAAATTTCTGAGCTTGTGAACCATGTAAGTTCGTTGTATATTATGTCTTGTTGTTAACATTCGCCCAGGTTTGTTAAAAGCAGCCTCTCTAAGTCTACACCTAAGTTTGTCTTAAATCTTACACTGTTGGTATTTCGATTAGATTTTTTTTTCAAAGATTGAACGATTGAGTTTTCTGAAATGTAAGTCAATAAATCACTTAAAGTAACATGTTTTTGACGAGTACACGTCTCAGGAGCTATTCCGATAATAAACAGCCAGGTCTGTTATAATTCGAAAAATTCCCTATTTTCCAGCAATTGGCCTACTTATGAACATCTGTTTGTGTTATGTTGGTTACAGTATCATGAAGAACCACTTTGAAATACCGTAAAATAGAGTAGCTTATAGACAGCAATAAAGTACTATTTTAGACTAGAAATGTATTAGAACTTGTAAGAAAACAGTGTAAAGATATCTTTATTGAAAAGTCAGATAAGCCAAAATAAAATACACAAATAACCTTCAAAATCACACTTATAGAAGGCTTAATTGTCCAGGCAGCATCGATGAATGGGAGGGTGAGGGGGGCACTACTCGATTCACTGCTAAGGGCTTGTTGTTGTTTTTTCAGATTTTAGCACAAATCTACATAAAGGTCTATCTGATAGACCGGAGGGAAGGTGGTTAGTCAAGAATAGTACCCACGACCCCCCAAAATAACAACAGGGCGCAAATTATGAATCTTTGGCATCACAGTCCGGGCACACTAATTTAGGCCACGCCCCCCTCTCTAAATGTAGCACAAGTCAGGTGACACTCCGTGTGAATATACTCCACGTTCATATTGATTCTGACTGTTACATTAATCCGACCAATAGTACAGTGCTTTCCATGTAGTTTTCCACGGTCAACTAGTCTAACAAGTCACATCCCATGCATTGTTTGCAACCACAGATTTCAGCGTAAATATTGCTGGGAAGGAAAACAAAAGGGTTAGAGAAGGAAGTGGATGATAAACTAAAGGAGTTTTTAGTTATCTGTGATTTCTTGACATGCATGTGTATAGGATAGTCTGTGAGGTAAATAGGGAGAAAATAATTAGATTATGCTAGCCAGGGGCACAGGTGAGGGATATAATTGACAGAGCAAAATATATAATAAAGGGAGCTAGCAGAGATGCAGTTTCTGTAGTGCATGTATGAGCTAATGATGTAAGGAAAGGTAGGTCAGGGGAGCTAATTAATACGAGGGGTTGATAAAGGCATTTATAGAAAAGGGCCATAATTTAATTGTGTGAGGGATACTGATGAGAATAATTGTGGTGATGAATTCATACGTAGGTTACTAGGGCTAAACGCTGGGCTTAGGTTAATATGTAAGGAGAAACAGATTGGCTGGTTCGACTTGTGAAATCTGTTTGATGGGAGCTGCTTCACATGGATGGTTTACATTTAAGTCGGGTAGTAGCTGATTTCTTTGCAAGGGCTGTTAATTCAGCAGTAAGGAAAGCTTTAAAGTAGGACTAGACAGCGGTGAGGGACAGGATAAACTAAATGCAAAAAAATAAGATGTAGAGAAAGTTTGGCAAAGGAAATGAGTATCGAAGTAGTTCTGAGGATAGGCTTAATTGTTACTATTGTAATGCTAGAAGTATAAGAAATAAAATAGATGACTAGAGGGCGCTGATAGGAAGGGAGAATTTTGATATAATGGAAATAACTGAAACATGGTTAAATGTACATGATTTTGATGACAGATATTTCTTTGAAATACAGGGTTATCGGTTATTTAATAGGGATTGAGTGCTAAAGGGGGGGGGACTAGCTTTATATGTAAAATGTGAGTTACATCCTATTGAAGTTCAAGATATCAAAGATAAATGCAAGGAGATTGAATCCATTTGGATTATATTAGTAGATATAAAAGGAAAAGAGTTTTAGTGGGAATTTGTTACAGACCATTGGATGATACTGATGAAATTAGAGAGAAACTTTACAGTGATATTAAGATTTCAGCTGTTAATGAGGTCATAATTATAGGTGAATATAATTTCAGGCATATAGATTTGGAAATGCTACAGTCAAACCATGAGGGAGAAAGGTTTTTCGAAACTGTTTAAAATGGTTTTCTTCACAGAAAATTAGGATATCAAAAAGGATGTATGAAAAAAACATTGGTTGAAAATGTAAATATTAACAGTAAGGATTTCTTTAAATACATTAAGGGTAAACAAAATGTTAAGATGGGAGTAGGATCCTTGAGAGATGATGAAGAAAGGCTTGTTTCTGATGATTATGAGATGGCTGAGTTATCAAATTACCTTTTTTTCAGTTTTTACTAATGAAGATTTAAGCAATATTTCTTATCTTGAACAGTTGGTAGATGGAAACAAGATCGACCTGGATACTGTCACAAGTTGGGCACTTTGCTCTTTTTGATTTACATCAGTGACATAGATGAGGGAATGGTTAATAAATTACTTAAATTTGCTTATAATATTAAGATCCTGGGTGTTGCTAACTGTGGAGAGGCTGCTTCTGCTTTACAAAATTATTTAAATCATTTAGTGAGTTGAGCAAATAAATGGCAGATAGGTTTTAATTATAATAGATGCAAAATAATGTATGTAGGTTATCATAATTTGAATTATAACTATAATTTGGGTAGAAATAACCTTAACAGTGCCATGAAAGAAAGGGGTCTTGTTGTAATGGTTGATCCGTCTTTTAAGCCATCCAAGCAATGTGCTGTTGCTAGTGGTAGGACAAATGGGATTTTAGGTTTTATCTACAAAAAACATTGAGTATAAATCTAAAGAGGTTATAATTTCATTGTATAGATCACTGATTAGACCACATTTGGAGTATTTTGTTCAGTCTTGGGCTTCTTATCTTAGGAGGGACATTGAATTGTTGAGGGTTCAGAAGAGGGCTACTAGAATAAAGCCTGGAATGGAAGGGTTGTCATATAAGGAAAGGTTAAAATCTCTGAAATCGTTTTCTCTTGAAAAAGTACGAGTTAGACGAGATCTGATTGAAGTGTTTAAGATTGTAAAGGGACTAATAGTGTTGATGCATCATTTTATAATTATCATTTATAATTATCAAATAACACTCACGCTCCTTCTCGTGGGATCAAAGGTCCCTTCATGCTTCACAGAGGCCTCAATGTACCAATCAAGCTCCTTTGTTATCTCAATTACTTCTACGACTACCTCAAGAGGGTTCTGTTCCCGAAAATAAAACCATTAGGGCAAACGGCTGTGTGTCACGTTCGATCCTACTAGCTTGTGAGTAGGGGTATAAATACAGTTTCAAACTTAATGTCCTTTGGATTTCAAGGTGTCCAGAAATACAAAATCCGATACCAGTTTCGAGTTTAGCAACCCTGAAAACCTATTTCTAAGCCCCAATCATGGTTGGGTGACCTTCCAGGTACATTTTAACCCCTCCTCCCTGGTAGGGTGAGAGTAACACAAGAGTGGGCACTATTAACTAATTCCCTCTAATCCATCAGTCGAAAATTCAGGATGGCTAGTGTAGCTTTGCGTGAATGTCTACAAACAAACCTAAGCCTACCATACATCTCAAATAAGTAAAACCTCTAACAAATATTTAAGTACTTTTGTCACATACGTTAGGATTAATAATTTACATCGTTCATTATGATAAAGTCCATAAATTCCAATTCTGATACACCGTTAAACTCTTTATTGGAATATTTGCTGATGCCTTATTTGATTTGGTAGTATATCATTTGGCCAAGAAAAATTATTTTGGTGTAAAATAACAGTGGAAAGGGTAGATACAGAAGGCTGAGTACTTTATATTAAAACGAATTTGAATATTCAAATCAGCAACTTATATTAAAACCACAACCAATATAAAGTCGTGGTGGATGGATGTAATGTATCACAACTACATTATGATAATGTTTGGTGTTACTTGGTTAGTGAGATGCCACCTAAAATTGATCGCTTTTGGGAAGAGTATGTAACAAACCTTACTGACGGATTATATTCATACACTTAGGTCATAAAGATGTGTTCAGATAGGGGATTTAGCATTGTCAATACAGAGATATCCCTTGCACTTAATAGTACTGGAAATCAAATAATTATAAACAAACGTGAGATATCACGACCATTTAGAAAAAGACCTGCAACAAATTGTACCCAAAGCGTGGTAAGCAAAATATGGCGTCTTGTAACAGGTAAGAATCCCCAAACAAAATAGTCAGTGGATAGAGTAGTCCACGTGTCCCAGACAACAGTAGGCAACAAAATAATCAAGAAGAATCTCTGGAAAAGTGGCACAAGCTGCTTCCATAGCATATCAATTCAACCTCCACACACCTCAAGCAGCTGGAAAATGGAACAGTACTCACGGTTTTCCGTTCGAAAAATAACGGTCGACAAACAGAGGTCCTACGGAAACCATCGTCCTCGTATACGGTTTTATAGAAAGATAATAGGGAGGAGTGGTTTGATTTGGACATGACAGCCTTATGATGAAGCATTTTACAATAGGAATGTGATTATTGTCAAGGTGCGCGGTCGTCAGATAAACCATGACTTGACATGGTGATATGGTGAGTTACAAAGTCGTTTTGATATAACGCATTCAACCTCTGTATATACTTTATCTTTCAAGGTGAACATCTACTGCGTTTTATCTGATGAATCATAAAATGTTTTTAGTAAAATATATTTCAATGATTTTAACTTTAACAGTTTTCGATAAGACAGTTTAACTTTAACAGTTTTCAATAAGACAGTTTAACTTTAACAGTTTT